CTAAGTAACTTTATTTACTTAAAATGTCTAATATTGACATTTTAGTATACTTAAAAAATGAGCATTAATCATGGTACTCAATGGAATACATACTATGAAACAAACATTACCACATGTGTAAACATTTTTTTCTTAATTGTGGTTAGGAAACTGTGATTATATACCTATTATAATTAAAAATAAACCTTTTGAAAATTTGAATTTGTTTTCATTTCAATTACATTTTAATCACACAATTAAAAGTGAGCTTCCACTCAAATCTTGCTCCAGCCAAAGTAAGTAAAAATAAGGCAAAACAAAAATTATGAATAGAAATATTTACTGTTAAAACTAGAACTGTTTCCCTTTAGTTCTGAGTTAATCATGTGCTTTTAACTATTGGTATCACTGAAATTCCCCAATTACTAATAAAAGAAACTATTCTCACAAATGATAGATAAAATATTTTGAGATAATTTTTAGCCCAAACACATTACAATTATATCTTTCTAATTTAGGTTGCAATTGTTCCAAAATTCTTGGAAAGTATATTTTATATTAAAAGAATGTTTTCTCCTGAGAACCACATGGTTATTTCTGAAAACACTGCCCTTTGTGCCTCAAGAAACAAGCAAGAATATCATTTTCCTTACAAAAGTTAACACCGTACAAATGGATCCATTACGTTCATACTGAAAAATCATGGCTGAATATTGCATTCCTCACAGGTTTTATAGGACTAGTCAATTAAAACTTGAAAACTATCAACCACCAGAATCACAAGGATGTCAATGAGATTTAGGGAAAAACTTGAAACAAGTGACTGAATCATTCTAAATTCTTATCTAAAAACACAGAAATGTGACACAAGAAAAAGCAGGAGAAACTGAGTGCTGTGAGAAGTAACGTACTTTTATTCTTGAGCCTTGTGGCCTCAAACCCAGGAAGCAGAAAATGACAAAAAAAATCACTTAGCAGCTCTGGTCACCAGAGGCTCCTGAAACATTAAAAAGGATTTGGAAATAAACTGCTATAAGGTTCACAGGGATATCTACCTTAACCAAGTCCAATAGGAAGTACTGTGGCAACTGTCAAATACAATAAAGAATCTCTATAAGTAACACTGAACCTCGGTCAGAAAACCAAATTAACCAACTCAAAGGTACACATGGAGAACACAAGAGAGAGCTAGGGAAAATATATAAGTTACCTCTCATTGTAAAAACAGTACTCTGACTCACCTCTACACCCTGAGAAGTATATTAAGAATTTAAGTAATTGCCACAGTTTCAAGGCATTTCCCAGAAGTTCATGCATTAAAAATTTAATTCCCAAATATATTTGTTGATAGCATTTGAAGTTGGGGCTTTGAAAGTTCCATAGGATTAGTGATGACATGAAGGTGGGATCCCTGGGATGGCAAGAAAGACTTCATAAGAAGTATGTCAGCTCAGGTCTCTCTTATGCTTCTTCTCACATTAAAAGCTTTTGCATCACAAAAGAAATCAATAGAGTGAAAAGAAAACCCACAGATTGGGAAAAAAAAATACAGCCAGTTGTCACACAGACAAAAGACATGTAAAGAACAAGAACATGTAAAGGATGGAAAAAAAAATTTCCCCCAAATTCAAAGATCTAATCTAAAAATGGACATCTCAAATGAATATGCACTTCTCAGATGAAGAAATACAAATGGTAAATAAATACAAGAAAAAAACGTTCAACATCATTGGTCATTCAAGAGACGCAAATTAAAACAACACTGATTGTATCTCACCCCAGAAGAATGGCTATTATCAAAAAATCAACTAATAACAAATGCTGGAGGGGCTATGGGGAAAAAGGAATCCTTCTCCACTCTTGGTAGGAAAGGAATCTAGTGCAACCATTGTGGAAATAAGTGTGGAGATTCCTTAAAAAACTAAAATTAGAGGTCCCATTCGAACCAGCTATTATGCTTCTAAATATCTTCCCAGGAGAATTAAAAGCACTATACACCACAGTGATATATGTGCACCCGTGTTTACAGCAGCAAAAATTTTAATAGCCAAATCTTGGAAACAACTTGGATGCCAGGAATGGATAAAAAAGATGTGGATTTTTTTTAATAATGGAAACTACTCAGCCATAAATAAGGATAAACTGGAGACTTTTATAGGTAAATGGATGCAACTTGAGACCATACTCATAAGGGAAATAAATCAGACCCATATGTATAAATACTGTATTTTTTCTCAGTGAGAAACTAAGTAAGTAAATAGGATCCAATATGCACAATAGATACTGTGAATTTGGAAGAAACTGTTCAAAAGAAAAGACAAACTGTGATGGGGGAAAGGGGAAAAAAAGAAAAGGAAAAAGAAAAAGTATGCACAAGATAATTAACATAGATATGAAAAGAAAATTTTGTACTACTATTGTTTGGACAAAATACCATGCCTATAACTGAACTCTGAATAACTACTACAAAGACAACAATATGCAATATATCAACTATTTAACTGTCCTATTAACCTGTTTTGAAACTCAGTTTCATTTCTATGTTTATCTTTTTTCTTTAAAATAAAAAACAAAAAATTAAAAGTGAAATTTTAGACAAAAAAATGATAAAAAATCTTTTGGATTTGTGGATCTAAAAGTGAGGACAATGTCTAAGACAGACATGACTCAGAAAATAGCAGGTAGTTAATAAATATTTTATGAAGTTTTAAAATATTAAAAATGGCTGGGGATATGGCTTAGTGGCACAGCGCCTGTCAGGCAAGCATGACGTTCTGTCTTTGATTCCCATGCACAAAAAAATAAAAATAAAAATGAAGTATTAAAAATAATTCTGAGTAAGCACAAGGTGTCCTTTATTTTACCTAAGACAACTTGATCACTTTTTTATTCCAAAAATCTCTACAACTAAAACATATTACAAAGTCATGTTAGGGCAGCATGTTAAAATCATAATCACAAAAGTTACAATCTAGTATTGTAACATTTTTCTAAGTGTCCTTTGCTGAGATTATATAAATATCATAACAGTATTTTCCAATGAATTGCAAATTAAGCAGTCAAAAAATGTTGATAAAATTAGCTGCAACATTACACACTATCTGTAGCTTCTTGGCAAGGCATTTAGGAATTTTATATTCTTCTAATGACCCGAATTGAACCTCTTATTCCTTTTAATCATATTTTAACATATTCTCCAATATTATTGATAATATTTTTTCATATCCTATTTAGAGACCTGTAATTGTAAGGGCCTCTTCACTGACGCTTTCATCTCTCAATTTTATTTAGAAAACAAATTTTTTCAAAATGTACACATCTGTAAAACTTCATATAATTATGGAACTAACTCAATGTTACTACTACATTCATAATCTTAATTCCAAGGTATGCTAATCAAGACAAATTCTGAAAATAAAATATGTATATTAAAATGCATTTCATCTGCAATGTTTGTACTCAAAATTTAATTCCAATCACTTTATAAACTTGAGTATTATTCTCCAGGGGCATACACTGCTAAATAATTTGTCCAAATGTCAACTGCAATTTTCAAAAATCCTTTCTACCTCAAAATTTTAAACATCTGTAAAAAGTACTTGTTTTCAGAGTACTTGACATTCATGACACTTGACCTTTTGTTCTACACACTACAAAATTCAAGTCTCAAATACCATCCAGCAGGAAATCTGATCATTTCTGCAGTAGCCATCTGGTTGGCCAATATCAGATATTAGTTCTAGACTGCACTAAGTCATGTGTTACAAATCTTTTTTAGCAGCCTCTATAATTAGTTATAATTTGTCTCTTTTAAAATGTGTTTCTTATAGAACATCTGGCCTTGAAACTATCACCTTCCCATTGAAAAATACTTAGTGTCTGGATTTTTTTTTTTAAATATAGAGCACTACATGGGTGGTATAACCAAATCCAGACTTTTAAAAAATACATTAAATTCCAATAACAGACGATGATTAAACAACCATTTATGTACTACCAACTATATATGTAAAATAAAACTTTTTTGCAATATAACTATAAATTCTAAATAAATTTCTCAAATACTGAATGATTCCAAAATAAATTTTCATAGAAATATAATATTGATCTGCTTACTTTTAGGAAAGACACTAAGTTAAATTGGATAATACAAGCTTGGGATCAAAGGTCTCATAAATGGAAAAAAATGATCTGAGTCCAATGGGTTGATACAATAAAAGTATCTATTTAAAACAGGAAATAATTATAATAGCTCATAGACCCTAATTTTATAATGATTAAAGTTACACTTCGGAGACACAAAAATCCCTTATGGGTCTTATGAAAACAGTCATTTTAAGAATACATATTAATTGACTTTAAATAATAAATATTAAGTGTGTGCTAATGATTAAAAATGAATGACAAATGCACTACTTTTCTACAAGATGAAGATGAAAACATTCTTTACAAAACACTACTGTCCTGATCTATTTGCTTCTTAAATTAGACAATTTTTGGCAGATATGCCTCACAACCAGAAACACCAAAAAAAAAAAAAAAAAAAAATCAAGAAATGTAAGATAAATCAAAGAAAAAATCAGAAATAAGCAGTTTCTGAGACCAAAAATCAAAAACAATGAAATCTGTTAAGGTAAATATCATCTCACCTCCCTCCAAAAAAAGCCTGAGAAATTTTCTATTTTAGAAATGTCATGTACATAAGAATCCATAAAAATTCACTCCAAAACTTTCAAAATCTTAATGTAAAAATTAGCCTGAATTGAGACTCATTTCTATTATGGAATGGGTAATAAGCAATTTATATGATGTCTAAGGAGGCTATGACAGACTAAGCAAACTTATATGAAAACATCCTTTAAATGTTTACCCAAATTTTAAAACACCCTTCTTTAAATAATGCTGCTTTAGTAGGCAAGTAAAAAGTACATAAGATTTATGTGACAACCAACATTCCAAAAGTTAGAAATGTCAAATGTCATACCTATTAAGTAAAAGAAATAGGTTCAATAATTTCTTACCTGTATTCCATCTTTAAGTTTCAAAATGCATTCCATTGTATTGATAGTAATTACCACTGGTTCTGAACCTAGTTTTGTCCATGGTACATGAATCCTCAATTCATGAATATGTCCACTTAAAAAAGTGAATGGTAATTTCAGCTCCTTAAAACATAAAACATTAAATAAAACATAATCAGTACTTAATACTTTTTTTTCTAACATTCCAATTTTCTTTCTTGAAAGAAAAATGAAATCCTAACACAAAAATACTTTGGGTATTGAAAGTACAATCACGTAATAAACTACAGTTAATAACAAGCAACAAGCCAGGCATGGTGGTACATGTCTATAATTCCAACACTTGGGAGGCTGAGGCAGGCAAATTACTGTCAGTTCGAGGCCAGCCTGGGCTACAAAGTGAGTTGAAGGCCAGCCTGAACTGTATAGCAAGACTGTTTCAAAAATATTAAAATAATAATAAGCTACAATAGTTTATTGTGCAAGTTACATTTAGTAAGTTTCCTCTTCTGCTGAACAGAAATTATATAGAATACCTAGTACATGATAAAGGCTCATATGTGGTGGTGGCAGCAATCATAACAACAGACATTAGAAATACAGAAATAGTTGCAATGGCACTTTTCTCAAATCTCTTAAAATATTTCCTCAAAAGATTTTTTAGGGGCTGGGGATTTAGCTCAGCAGCATAAGCGCCTGCCTTGCAAGTGTGCAGTCGCAGTTCAATCCCTGGTACTGATAAAAAAAGAAAAAGACAAAAAAAAAAGATTTTTTTAAACAGGTTGAAAGGGGAGAAGGAAGCTTAAATGGAGATTAGAGAATGACCTGATAAAATAAAAAATGATCAGTCTACAAAAACAACTTATTTACCTTACCTCATTAAGGAGTTGACCTGGATACTATCTGATCATAAATTTAAAATGTCTTCTTGCTGCATTCCATTAGACAACAGGTTAGAAACAAAAACATGAACTTCACTACAATCACTTGCCCTAATTTGTTTCACTTCCAGAGCAAGTTTTTAATATAAACCAACAAAGAAAAAAGAAAATGAATTTCTCTCACATTTGTAGTTATGTAGCTATTTAGAAAGTTAACATAAATATTACTTATTCATTTTTTGCTCCCTCTAATTTGATTTAATAACATAACTAAAATATTGGTAGTACAGTAAAGTGCTTGTGTCCAGTAATTCCAGAGCCAACAGAAACGTTTACATTCTATCTCTGCTACTGCCAGTCACACTGGGCATATATCTATGCCTCCATTTCATTATCTGAAAATTTTGGGTAATACTGTAGAATCTTCAAAGGATTAAACCATTTACATAAATTGCTTAGAATTGTCTTATACAGAAATCATTAGATGCTAAGTATTATTACAAAAGTGTGGGTCTAACTTATCTTCTCAACAAGAGATTTTTTTTCATGCAAACTATTAAAACATTACTATTCTTTTCTAATACACAGACTATCACAGTATCTTGATACTTTTTAATTTTACATTAAGTTGAAAGAAGCAATCATTTATTCAAGTGTTATTCAACTTGCACAAGATTACATACTGATGAGCCTGCAACAAGACAGTCTAACCACTTATGATGTAGTAGTTACTATTCTGAGCACTTTACCACTATGCACTAAACTAAAATCAAAATGGATCAAAGATCTAAATATTAAAACAGAACACTAAATCTGTCTGAAGAGAGAATAGGCAGAATCCTTAAAGACACAGGTGTATGCAAAGATTTCAGGAACAAAACCCCACTGCACGAGAAATAATTCAAAAAAATTATTAACTACGATCTCACCCTACTAAAAAGCTTGTCCACAGCAAAAGAAATCACCAACAGTGAAGAGACAACCCACAGAGTGGAAAAAAAATTTAGGCCATTGTCCCTCAGACAAAAGACTTATATCTAGAATCTATAAAGAACTGAAAAAAATAAGACACCAAACCCCTCAAATTCAAAAATTCAATCCAAAAATAGACGTCTGAAATGAATACACACTTCTCAGACCAAGAAATACAAACGGCAAATATATACAAAAAAAATCTTCAATATCACTGATTATTTGAGATATGCAAATTAAAACAAACAGAGATTCCATCTCACTCCAGAAAGAATGGTCATCATCAAGAAATCAACTGATAACAAATGCTGGAGGGGTTATGAAAAAAAGGAACCCTTTTCAACTGCTGGGGGGAATGTAAACTGGTACAACCACTATAGAAATCTGTTGTGGAGACTCTTTTAAAAAACTAAGATTAGAGTTCTCATTCAACCCAGCTATTCCCCTTCTGAATACCTTTCCAGGAGAACTGAAAATATCATATCACAGCAATATAGGCAACAACCACATTTATAGCACCACAGTTTGTACTTGCAAAATCTTGGGAACAACTTAAATGGCCATCCACCAAAGAATGGATAAAAAAGTGTGGTCCTTTTCTACAATGAAGCAGCCCTAAAGAAGGGTAAACTAGAAATAGTCATAGGTAAATGGATGCAACTTGGGACCACACTCCTTAAGTGAAATAAATCAGACTTTTATGTATAAACATATTGTCTCCCTGGTATGAGAATCTGAAACAGTAAATAAGGTCTAAATTGTGTAATAGATAGTGAAATTGGAAGAAATTGTTCAAAAGTAAAGAGGAAGTCGAGTAGGGGAAAGGGAAAAGGGAAAAGAATGATCAATTTAAAGAAGCTACAAATCAACAATTAAGGAAGATAATGTATAATATAAAAGACTTTTTTATTAAAGAGATAGAGACAACAAGAGAAACATAAATCTTGGAAACAAAAACCAAATAAATCAAATAAAAATTTTAATTGAAATCCTCAATAGACTAGATTGAACAGAAAAAACGCATCAGACAAACAAGGTTGATGAATTATGACATTGATACAATAAACCAGACAAAAAGAAAAAATGCAAAGAGCATACAACACCTATGGAATGCCATAAAACAGCAGAATGAATAAATGATTGGTATAGATAAAGGATTAGATCCACAGATTAAAGGCATCGTTACTCTATTTAAAAAAAAAAAAATCAGAAAATTTTCCAAACTTGTGAACAATATGGAAATCAAGGTATAGGATGCATTTAGAAGCCCAGAAAAACATGGCCAGCAAAAAAGCCTCTTCAGGTCATACTACAGTTAAACTACCAAAAGTACAGAACAAAGAATATTAAATACTAAAGACAGAAGTACAAACTCATTCATAAAAGCAAGCCTATCAGACTGAACCAGATCTTAGTAAAAACTTAAAACACCTTAAGGGCATATAACCATGTATTTCAAACACTGAAAGAAAATAACCCCCAAACTTGCTTTTTATATTCTGCAAAGTTATCATTCACAATTAACGGAGAACTAAACACTTTCCAAGATAAGCATAAACTAAAAGGACTTACAACCACCAAACCAGCATTACACAAATACATAAAGGAATCTTGCCACAGAAGAAAAAACTACAATCACAAAAGCACAATAAAGAATAAATATCACTTAGAGAGAATTAGGAATTAATCTTAATGAGACTTAGGAAATAATCAAACATGATTAATTCAATAAATCATCAACTTTTAAAATAATGAGATATACATAGATTATACCCCCAAAAGAGAAAAATGGGAATTAGTACATAACTTTCAATAATATCCCTGAATGAAAATATTCTTAGTGTTTGAATTAAAAAGAGTGGCTAACCATAATATAAACAAGAATCAGTTTGCTACTTGAAATAAACTCATCTCAATAGCAAAGATATACTATACATATATTCTATACGACTAATAGGACAGAAAATAATATTCTAAACAAATAGAAACCAAAATCAAGCAGGAACAGCTATATTCACAACTGACCAAGAAACTCTTCAAGCCAAAACTGTTCAAAAGGGCTAGTGATACAGCTCAGCAGCATACACACCTGCCTAGCAAGCAAAAGGTCATGAGTTTGATTTTTATTTATTTAAAAATAAATAAACAGAATCAAAATTGGTCAGAATAGACAAAAATCAGTACCTATTCTTAAAGTGAATAATTCTAGAAGTTATAATAATATAAATATATATATAAATGTAAATATGTATGCACTAAACATTGGAGTACCCAATTTGAGAGATCTCAGTCCTATAATAATAATAAATAGCTTCAATATCCCATTCTCACCAATAGATCACCCAGACTAAAAAAAAAAAAAAAACGAAACAACAACAGATATTTAAGTTACACTACAGAACATTAAATCCAGCAGCTACAGATATAAACATTCTTCTCATTGGCTCATGTAACCTTTTCCCAGAGATGTTTTAGGCCATGGCAAAAAAAACCTTAACACATACATAAAAAAGTACTAATTTCTTGAATCAGATCACATAATAAAGGGGAAAAAAAGATCATACGCAGTTAGTTTTATTCCAGGGAAGCAAGGATGCTTTAGCAATGCAAATCAATAAACACAGCACATAAACAAAACCAGAATTTAAAAAAATTCTTAATCATCTCAAATGATGCAGAAAAAGACAGATAAAATTTAACATCACTTCATAATAAAAGTCCTGAAAAAACTAGGTACAGTATAGAAATATCATCTCTCAACATAATTAAAACTACACAGGAACACATAACCAAAATCATATTGCCTGATGAAAGTATTTCCTGTAAAGTATGTACCAAGACAGTATTCAGTCTCATTACTGTTGTTAAATATATATTTGAAATTTTAGCCAGAGCCATCACATAACAAAAGGTCATAAAATGGATACAAATAAAAAAGGAAAAAGGAGAAGTACCATATTTGTTTACACATTATGATTACACACAAAACCCTACAAGACACTTAGAATTAATAAAGTAATTCAGTAAACTATGAGGATACAAAACTAACATATAATAACAGTTTTTATATATATCAATAATGAGCTAAGAAATCAAGTCCACCCAATATAGCTTCAAAAAATAAATATAGTATCTGGGAACAAAACTAACCATGGAAGAAAATAACGTCTACAATGAAAATTATAAAACAATGAAGAAGACACTAGAAAATAGAATGGTCTTCCATGTTTGTGAATTGAGAGAATATCATTAAAATGGCACATTTCCAAAAGTGATCTGAATCAGTATAAT